TTACTCCTGAGGAGGAAAAAATATTAAATAAAATACAATCAAAGAAAATTCAAAAGAAATATGATGAAAGGAAAAAGAACACCAAAATCAACAGTCTTCTGGGGGAGCAGCTCCAGGAGGACAAGCTTCTCACCTGTATTGTCTCAAAAACAGGCCAATGTGGCAGAGCAAATGGCTATGTGCTAGAAGGCAAGGAGCTGGAGTTCTACCTGGGGAAGATCAAAGCCCAGAAAGGCAAATAAAACATTCCTAGCTCATGTAATAAAGGTATTTATTGTTCTGTATTAAAAAAATATTGATCATTAAGGCAGTAACATAATCCCCAACAAGAGTCTGTTGAAATCCCTGAAACACCGAAAATTGGAAATTACATCTATACTGTCATTTCTAAAATTGAGATGTGAATACCAACTTCTCATGAAAAGTCAAATACAGTCCTATAAAAATGTGAAAGGACTCAATGGATAAAGACGCTTGTCACCAAGTCTGAGACCTATGTTCAAAACCTGGAACCTACGTGGTATAAAGAGAGAACTGATTCCTCCAAGTTGTCCTCCAACTACCACACACACACACACAACACACAGTAAATATAAAAAAATATGAAATAACACACTTATTTAAGGTCAATCTTTTCAGTCTGTGTACTGCGATCAAGAAATGCCCAATACTTGGTGGTCCTGTCTTCAACATAAAAACTTGCAGCACTTTGAGATCTGTGCTTCAGAAGATGAGACTCTTCCATAAGCAGCTTTTAGCTGAAACAGATTGCAAACAACAGCTGGGGAAGTAAAGGGCATTTCCAATGCTGCAATGTGGGGAGCAAAGGCGGTGGAGTTAGTAGCAACCAAGTACTTAATGAACATTGAAAGGGTACAATCAGTACTTCTTGGTTTTAAATCAAGAATAGATAAAAGCCCACTTATATAACTGCATCACCCAAAGTCTATGTCAAACTCCACTTCTCATTTAGCCCAGGAGCTTCAGGGCAAATTCTACAAAGAAAGTTCAGTTTAGATTAGGAAAAGCAGATTTAGAGACAAGATTAGCACAGTTCTTCCAAAGGAGAAAAATAATTTGTTACTTGATCCTGAGTCTTTTATTGCCTTCACCACTAGCTACTGAAGACAGGAATCTAAACATTAATACCAGCGTTCGTTATGTATTCCCACCCAACTTTAACAAGAATTACAAATTCACTAATTTGCTCTTTAAATGGGTATAATTTTAGGTCAATTACCTAAGGGACCTCATACCAGTGAATAAAGCTTACACACACAACACTTAAGCACTGAAATAGACACTAGCAAAGAAAGAACTTTGTGTGGGTGCCCCAGACTCACCTACTGCTCTCTAGTTCCCAATCTGCCAATACTGAACTCAGACTTGATTTCTTGGCTGATAAAGGATGCTAGAAAGGCTAAAGCCAGGCAATATCTTGAGGTTCCTATCTTTACTAAAACCTTCCAGGCATAGGTAAGGAAGCTGTATTAGAGTGTGTGTTCTCACGTACAAATGCCAATTGCCAAAGGCTTTGAATATACTCACTCCTGCTTTAAAGCCTTAAGGTCAAGATACAGAAATAAATGTTCCTTCTAGACCCTTCCAACCCTTACTGGCATGACTAGATAGAATGCTAATATTAAGAGTCTAAGCCTTAAATGGATGGATCTAGAAAAAAACTATATTGAGTGAAGTAGGCTAGATCTAAAAAGACAAATATAGTATGCACTCACTCATAAGGGGATTTTAGACAAAGCACAGAAAACCAGCGTACAAGCCATAACCCCAGAGAACCTAGACAACAAAGAGGACTCTAAGAGAGACATACCTGGATCTAAATAGGAAAGAGAAAAAGACAAGATCTCCTGAGTAAATTGGGAGCATGGGGGTCATGGGAGAAGGTAGGAGAGAGGGGAGGGAGGGGAGCAGAGAAAAATGTATAGCGTAATAAAAACAATTTAAAAAAAAAAGATTCTAAGCCTTAGCCCCGTGGTGGTGGTGCATGCTTTTAATCCCAGCACTAGGGAGGCAGAGCCTTGCCCAGAATTAAAGACCCAGCCCCTCATTCCTAGGTCAGGGTTCTTTTATGCCCTGGGAGACTATCATTTACAATTTTACAATTAGCTGTGTGTGTACGTGTGTACACACACACACACACACACACACAAATAAAAATCAAACACCAAACCCACCACCACCAACAGAATAAAACCCAGTCCACAAAAACTCAGCTTTATTACTCAGGAGGAAGCTGCCTTAGGTGGACTGGGACTTCAAAGTCAGCCAAAGCCACAAAAGGAGACACTGCAGAGAGGGAACAGAAAGGAGAAAAAGAGCAGAGTCAAGGGAGGGGAGATGTAAGGGATGGAGAGAGGGGAGAGAGAAAGGCACAAAATTTTGTCTTACTAACTTCTTGGAAATCTAAGAGGCCCCACTAGAGAAGTTTTAGTTAAGACAGGAAAGGTGAAACTAATAATCACTCTACTTTTATCAGTCAATTATATAAAATTTCAGGGCTGGCAAGATGTCACTTGCATCTGTACTAGGACCCTGCACTGAAAGTACAGAACTAACCCCTGAAAGCCGTTTCCTGATTTCCCTACACATGCACACAACTACATACACACTTACTAAAAATACAATAAAAATTAAAAACCAATTATGTAATTTCAAATCTGCCTTGTCTGATGCAAAATTATTGAAATTTTATCTGTTGAAAATGAAAGTCTTTTTTATAGAAGGTTGGGAGGTTCACTCCCCCAGTGAGAGAAGCCTTTCTCTAGACCTCTGGCTGAGGACTAACTGCTCTGACACACATCATGGAATGGTAGACACAGCACATTCCTTCCAGGCAACAATGCTCAGAAGACCTACACTGACGTCTACAGCAACAGCAGACTCCTACCACTACAGTTAGGGTTCACGATGGAAAAACAGGACAAGCACACAGACTATATCATCCATCACCAATAACATTTTGATTCTTGACATGCCAGGGCACACATGTAACATGGGATAAAACAAAAATATCCAGGATCTCAATTCATCACTTAGTAACTTTGTGAGCAGATATTTGAGCCTCAACTGCAAAACATGGAACTCTATATAGAACTTACTCCAAACCAGTCCTCAGGTGAATCCAACATTAAAGATGTTGTATTTGGTTCAAACTATTATTTTTTATTGCTGCAAATAAAAGCCAGGGAATCATAATCATGGGGGGGGGTCAAAGGTCCACCAACCGTGAGTGTGCAGTTCTATTTCTCAGTGCTGGCTATCTCCTTCAGAGAGGCACATGCACATACACTACAGGTCAGTGGGTACTAACTACTCTTCCCTCCTCTTCAACTCATTTTACCTTGGTAAATAATTGGGGTTTATAACCCATTTAAGGATTTTTAAAAACGAGTCGACTGCCTAATGCAAATACTGAGGGCAGCCACTACCAAGAGCTCCTCATTAACACGTCTGGTCTCACACAATCCTACAACTTCATCCTCATCCTCTGCGTCTTGAACGCTTATACGGGACAACAGTGCAGTTGCCGGTACTGAAGGGACTCCGGGGCCATTCCTACCTCCAAATGTCCCCATGATTGTTAACTGCCTGCGTCAGCTCTCTCACTCTTGTCTGCTACATAGGCTGACACAGCCTCCCTTCCATGCTGGGGAGCCTCTGCCAGGAAGCTGTCTGCAGAACCATCTCTGGAGGGGGGTGGCAAGTGTTTTTATACCAGGCAGACTTACCTCTACAGTTGTCAACTTTCTATACACAGCATGCAGTGCCAAATGATTCAAATTTAGATAACTGCTAACTGCGGGGTGGGTGGGCCATGGTAAAAGACACAGAAAGTGCCCTGTGAATCCCAGGCAAGTTATTAAGAGGAAGGGTAACTGGGGATTCTGAACACTACAGTCCTTAACAGCACCAATGCGCAGCAGAAGTCAGCGGTCCACCCCTTTCTGCATACAGGGTAAACGATCACCAGCTTGTATTTCTGAGGTTTTGTTTTGCCTTCTTTCTTCTAACAAACATAGTATATCCCTACACGCACACAGACCCGAAGCGTGAGAGTGAAAACTCTTCCTCAGCAGAGTCTGCGCTGGCACGCGACGGCCAAGCCCCTGGAGGAAGCCGGTCCACGCATGCCTCTCCAGAGCACTAAACCCGACCCACTTGCCGTGGCCCCAACAAATGACGCAGACCAGCAGTTTCCCCAGGTGCCAGAAGAGAGTGGGGCGGCAGCGCGGTAGCCAGGGAGACCAAAGGAAGCAGTTGTCAGAGAAAGGCGTTGGAGCAGAGTCGAGCCTGGAGGCCGCGGTGGGGGGTGGGGAGGCTGGAGACAGGCAGCCCGGGGGCTATGCCGACTTTTTGCAATGCGCTCACCGCTGTCTGAGGGCCGAGTCCAGCAGGGTACAGCCTGCCAGGCGCCAAGGCCACGAGCGGCCAGGGCGCGGACCCACGAGGCTGCACGGTCCCCGGGAGCCCAGGTGCTGCAGGCTCCCTCCTGTTGAGGGCCACTTGCAGAGCCGTGGCCTTGCTGGGGAGCGAGTGGAACCGCAGAGCCACCCACGGAGCGCCCACCAAAGTCACTTTCCAGGCTGGGTCCCCTCGCCTCAGGGGTCCTCGGCCAGGTGTGCCCCCCCCCCGTGGCCGTCTAGACCCCGGCGAAGCGGCCTGTCCCCCCCCCCCCACACACACACACAACCCGAGGCCAGGGCTGGGGGCCACCAGAACCCATTTCCACCTCCACACCCCCGAGTGCGGGCACCTGGCCTTGCTGCCCGGGAAAAGCCGCGACACCACATGAGGGCAAGTGAGGAAAGCGGGCCGCCGAGAAGCAGGACGAGGCACAGACTCCACACTTGCGCCCCCTCGCGGGCTGCTCGGCTTCTCCCCGACCCCAACACCAACTCCGGTCCCGGACCCCCGACACACCCTGCGGGTTCCCGGGGCGAGCCCTCGAAGCCGGCTCGCGCACGCGCGCGCGACCTCACCTGGCCCGCGCCACTCTCGGGGCCTCGGCTCCAGAAGCAGGCGAACGTGTGAAGCCACGTGACGTCCCCGGGCTGGGAAAGCGCGCGGCCCGCACGAGGGGCCCGAGTCCTCGGCTTCAGAGGAGCCATGGCGGCGGTGCCGTCGTGGCGCGGGGCCCTCAGCGCCGTCCCAGCCGGAAGGGGTCTCCGCCGCCCCCCACGTTGGCGGCCACCGCCGCCCGCCCTTGCCTCCCGTGGGACGCCGAGGCGACTCGAGAGAGAGACGCGCGCCGCCGGCCCTCACGTGCGACGGCAGCGGCGGGAGGCAGTGTGGCGGACGCCGGGGCTCCCCTCCGCGCGGCCCGCTCCCGTCCGGACAGGCGTTCGAGCCTCCCCCCTCCCCGGTCTGCAAACGCAACTCCGGAGGCCCCGGCGGCCGCCCCCGGAGGGCCGCGGCGCCTTTAAGCCCAAAGGCCTGAGTCACGAGGAAAGCTCCCTGCCCCCCCCCGTCGCCCCACACCGCTCCACGAGGCCCACGACCGTGGGCATGTGACCGGCGCCCCGCCCGTGGGACGCTCGCCCGGGGCGGCGGTGGAGGGGGGAGGCCGTGGGGCGGCAAGACAGCGCGCGGACCGTTAGCCGAGGCGGCAGGGGACAGCGGCCCCGCCCGGCCCCGCCCCGCCCGGGCGGCTCTTACCAGAGAGAACGCCATGGGGTCCGGCGTGGCCCTCAGGGACTGACTGGCGGGCGGGCGGGTCTGGGCGGCGCGGGACGCGCACACACGTGGGCACTATTTTTGCAGCGAGCGGCGCGCGACTCCGCGCCCCGGCGGGCGGCTTTATAAAGCTCCGCCGCCGCGCTGGCCTGACGAGGAGCACCTGTGCCGGCCCCGCCCGGCCTCGCCCCCGCCCCCGCCCCCGCCCCCTGCGCTCCCTCCAGCCGTCCGGACCCGCGCTCCGCCGCCCACCCTGGGCCCGAGGGGGGGGGCGGGGATGGAGAAGGGGGAGGACAGAGACGGAGAGAGACGACCCAGACCGGGGTGAGTTAGGAGGCTCGAGCCGCCGGGGGCCACCTCTACCTGTGGGGAGTCCGGAGATCCGGGGCCCTGAGCGCGCCGCTCCCGCCGGGCCTCAGTTTCCCCTTCCCGGTTCTCAAGCCTCCGCAGCTGCGGAGGTGACGCGCGGCCTCCTGAACACCGGAGAGCCACGCCCCTCCTTTTCTAGTGACCTCTCGGGTGGGAGCCCCGGTGCACGAACCCGGTTCCCCCACTCACACACGCACACGCACTTCCACCCCCCACCTGCAGCAGACACGCCCTCACTTCAGACCGGCTGCTGCTGCACCGCTAGCGAGCTGGACCGGGGAGCGCAGGCGTCAGGGGATTCCGGAAAGTTCCAAAGACAGCCGTGCTCCTCTTCGGATTGCAATCCCCCGGGGAAAACCGCTTCCGACGCTCCCGCCGGATAGGCCGGGACGCTTGACTGGGAAAAATTTGGGCCAGGAGCTGAGGGTGAGCTGGGCTGTTGTTTAGAAAGGCGTCACGGGCCAGCTGGGGCTGGAGCGGACCGGAAGCCCAAGCGAGCGCAGAGGCGGAGATGGCATTCCGGGCTGGAGACCAGGGAAGGCGGAGAGGGAGGATCGAGCTGCCCAAGCTGACTAGGACCCGGCTAATGCGTGTTGATACCACAGGAGGGAAGCCCGAGCCCAGTTTACGAAGGGCTTTTATTCTGCAGCCAGCTGGAAACTCGGGAAGAACAGTGAACGGAGCTTGGAAGTTGCCACGTCTCTTTTCAGAGGTTGCTGGAGGCTTAGAGGTTGGAAATTAGGCACTGGGGTGGGTAAGAAAGGGACCAGAGTTTACTGAATATTTCTAATTGTCTCGAATGGTATACTGTTAGGTTCCTCCTGACAGGTGGGGAAGAAGCCGCTGCCTGCTGCTGGCAGGTTCATGAGGCAGCTACTGTAGGCTTCTGCCCAGCGTGCTGGGAAAGGAAGCCGGTGGCCCTAGTCTAGTTTGGTGTTCTGAGAAGAAGGTGAGGAAGAGGACAGATGCTGGAGTTGAAATCTGGAGAGAGCTCAGTGACAGTCAGGGCTGGCTAGTCTCCATCTTGGGACTCTCCCAAGGGTTGCGGATGTCCTAAGCAGAAAGGGTGACGACTGTAGGGGAACCCAAACCCCTAAGAACAGTTCACCCCCAAGTCCCATCATGGCCAGCAAGCAGCATAGGCCTGCTACTCCAAACCTTCTGTCTCTTGTCTGCCTTCTCTCCCTCTCCTGAGACAGCGCACACTCAGATGTCTGTGGCATAGGGTGTACATGAGGGTGTATGAGGTGCTCTGAAGGGCTGATCAGATTGCAGGTGGCATAGGCCTGCAATCTCAATACTATCAATGATGAAACAGGAGGGCTGCCTTGCATTGGAGGGCAGCTAAGAACTACAGTCTGAAGAAAGTCTGCCTCAAAAATAAATAAGTCAGAAGAAGGAATGTGGATATCTGATAGGTACCAAATATGTCAAAAATATCTCAGGAATTTTTAAATCCAAGGTCACCATGTACTTTAGGGACTGCCAACTTGTGATCCTTTACCTCCAGTCCTCCCTGGCCCCAAGTCAAGCAAGACAAGACTCTGAGACTTGAAATGGCACCTAAGGGCCTATGGGAATGAGTATATGGGAAAAAAATCTAATAAACTTTCAAGCTTCCAGCATATAAGAAAATAACTTTGAACGTGAATTTCTACTATCAATAATTCTCCTTAAACTTTGTCGAAGTGGTCTTTTCTGGGCACTCAACCCTGTGCTTAGCACACATCTGAGAGCTTCACTTCTGCTAACTCATTTTGTAGGTGACGAGATGTGTGCAGAGAAGTAACCTGTGCTTGGCTTCAGCTTTTTGGGAGACTAAGGCAGGAGGATTGCAAATTTAAAGCCTGCCTGGACAACTTAATGAGCCTGTGCGCCCACCCCACCCCACCACCTACACCCCGGACTGTAGAGTAGATTTGGGAGTATAACCAAAAGGGGTGCTTGTGTAGCACCCACCAGACTGCAGCATCAATCCCCAGCAAACCACAAAAGCAGGTAACTCGGTTACTCGCTCAAGGACCCCTTGCCAACAGGAGAAAAGCAAGAACTCAAGCAGTAGTTTTCCATTTTCATAGCCTGATGATATTTTTCCTGATGATGGTGATGTTTTATTTAAACTTGTAGCCTCTCCAGCCTGGTCCCCTTTTTACATTTGTTATTTATTTGTATATATGGACATACATGGAAGTCAGAAGACAACTTGGAGTCAGTTCTCTCCTTACACTCTGTGGGTCATGGGGCTTGAGCTCAGGTCAAGATTGGTGGCAAATGCCTTTACTTTACCTGGTGAGCCATTTTGCCCCCTCCCACCCTGTTTCTCGAACAGGCTTTCAATATGCATGCAGCACACACTGGCCTTGAACCAAGTCTGATCCTTCTGAGTGCTGTGATGATCAGCATGCATCACCATGCCCAGGCTACTCCCAGCATCTTTATGTGTGCACTTCCATATGACGTATAAGAGCCCACTGATGACGTAAGGGAAGAAGTAGAGGGTTCAAATTTAGTTAAGGCCTCAGGAGAGTTATTGTTCCCAGGATGAGGTTGGGGAGTAGGGTGCATCCTTGGCTAGGCCTACAGGTTCTACAGGAAGCACAGTCCTGACTAGAAGGGATGCATTATATACCACGCAGAGTGTGGAAGATGACAAGGGCAGAGACGTTAAATGACTTGGTCAAGTCAGCACAGCTGGTCACTGGCAAATGTGTGAGGCAGGAGCAGACAAGGAGAGAATTATCCACTGTCCCAGTCAACAAACATCCTTTGAGGCCAGCTATGCCTGGCACTGTCTTTGCAGTTAGCTTTAAAGTGTCTGATTGGCTGTTTCCAGTTCTCAATTGCATGTGGTAGGGGGCAGGAGAGACTATAGTTTTTTATGTGCTCCATATAAAAAAAAGCAGAGGGCACAGCAGGCAGAAAGGAGGTTACTGGGAGAAAAGGATGTCCTAGTTGCAAGAGATCAGAAGAGAAAAATCATTTAGGAAATCAAGACCACAAGGAAAGATGGACATGAAGTCTCATTCAAGTTCAAGTTTCATCGATCTCTTTCTTTATTGAAGAAACACTAGGGTTTTGTTGTTGTTGTTGGTAAGTAAAAACAGATTAGTGTGTCAATTACTCATCAAAAGCCTATTGACCTGAGGTCAATTCCCACATTCCTTGTAAAAGTGGAAGGAGAGCAAGCTACACGAAGTTGTCCTCTGACCTTCACCTGTACCTTGTGTGTGTGTGTGTGTGTGTGTGTGTATGTATGTGTGTGTGCATGCACACACATACACAGTAATATTTTTAAGAAGATAGTGGATCAGCCCCACTTTTTTATTATACATAAATGTAAATTTTAAATAGGCTAAATATATAAATGTGAAAAACTGTTTTGGAATTTTAAAGAAGAATATAGATGGATATCTTTATTTTAATTTGTTGCTTTGATTTGTTGAGACTTATAGCCAAGGACAGTCCTGAACTGAAATTCTCTTCCTCCCAAGTGCTAGGATTATGTCTATGCTATCAGCCTGAGAGAGGGCATTGTTATTGCCTCAGCCTGTGGAAAAATTCTGTAAGTTAAAAATAAAAATAAAATATAAAGATGAAAAATTTGACCACACTGGAGCTTAAACTCATGAAAAATATTTAAAACTAGAAAAGGTGATGGGCAGCTGAGGATAGGGAACCTGAAATGACCCTATCCTATAGCAATACTGACGAATATCTTGCATATCATCATAGAACCTTCATCTGGTGATGGATGGAGATAGAGACAGAGACCCACACTGGAGCACTGGACTGAGCTCCCAAGGTCCCAATGAGGAGCAGAAGGAGGGAGAACATGAGCAAAGAAGTCGGGACCACGAGGGGTGCACCCACCCAATGAGACAGTGCAGCTGATCTATTGGGAGCTCACCAAGGCCAGCTGGACTGTGACTGAAAAAGCATGGGATAAAACTGGACTCTCTGAGCATGGCGAACAATGAGGGCTGATGAGAAGCCAAGGACAATGGCACGGGGTTTTGAACCTACGTAATGTGCTGGCTTTGTGGGAGCCTAGCCAGTTTGGATATTCACCTTCCTAGGAATGGACGGAGAGGGGAGGACCTAGGACTTACCACAGGGCAGGGAACCCTGACTGCTCTTTGGACTGGAGAGGGAGGGGGAGAGGAGTGGGGGGAGGGGGAGAAGGGTGGGAGGAGGGGGAGAAGGGTGGGAGGAGGGGGAGGGAAATGGGAGGCTGGGAGGAGGTGGAAACTTGTTTTTTTTTCTCCTTTTCTCAATAAAAAAATGAAAAAAAAGGTGAGCTATAGAATCATATTTTCAATGCATACCAAGGTCTTCA